AATACAAGTGGGAGGGTATCTCAGAATGGCGGGCCCGACGCCGGAATTGGACTTGACCACCTATCGGATGAAGAACGACGGATCCCAGAAAAATGTCGAGCTTTGTCCCGGCATGCGCAGCGAGAACGGACACTGGATTAGATGGCCTTTTTCAGGAGAGAGCCATCAATGAGATGTGGGAGCAGCCGAGGAACAGGAAACTACATGATGCATACCGCCTGACCAGACGGGCAGCGGGCAGCAAATTCGGCATCGAGCGACGCCCTTATTTAGCAGCGCGGGTCGCACCATCGACAGAGAAGGAATTGCTGAATCAGCCCCACCCCCCCTGGGGTGTGAAGGAGGCGCGCAACCTACGCTCACCCCGTCCCGGATCAACTATGCTCTAGCCCGAGTAGATGAATATCTGACTCCCGATTCGACCAGCCCCCCCGAAGGAGCAACTTAGGGGAAACATATCAACCACCACCAAGAGAGAGAGAGAGAGAGAGAGAGAGAGAGATGGGCCTTGCGAGCTCCGAGGGGGAGGCTGGCCCAAGCTGGCCCCCCCCGCGGAGCCTCTAGCGATTATTTTGGCCCCGCCCGCGGTTGCCTCGCATGGAACCCGGGGCCCGGGGGCCCCAGAGCCCGAGCATAACGCGCCAGTTGTTCGATAGCATTCGAAAGACGCCTGTCTGAGAATTCGAACAAGCACCCGCGCCCCTGTCTGTTGGCACTCCAGCATGGGGGTCTCGCGGCCCAAGAATGCCAACGGGGCCACCTTGGGGGGGCGGCCCCGGGGCTTCGAACGATTCACCCCCTCCCTCCGCTCGGCAAGGGCAGGCGATCCACCCACCCCTCGACCCCAGAGATGCCACCCCGAGGTGCTCGGTTGTTTCACCCCATCGTTGCAAGGAGACTGCCACGGCCAACTCATCAATAGCAACGCGGCGAGTCCGCAGAGCGGGCCGCCTAGGATTGGTTCACCCACATGATCTCGCGAATGCTTCCGCGAGCGCGAAGTGGGCAGACATGCGGGCCGCCGCGGTGGAGCTGGTGGAGGGCGGCCCAGCACGTCTGGGCTGCCAGCGCCCCGAGGAAGCGGCACTGACTCTGCAGCGCGGAAAGGGCCCCCGTTTTTTTATGTCCAATCTGTGGAGACATGATGGGGGGGCCCGCACATCGCGCGGCAGTTTGCTCAGAGCTTCCAGACCGCCAACCAGGATGGGAAAGAGCGCCTCGAGTTGGAGGGGCTGGCGTCGGGGGAGTTGGTCACTCAGCGCCCATTCCTGGATAGGGTCGTCGATGCGTTACTCAGCCTGCGCGCCGATGAGATCTTGAAGTTTCTTCCAGGGGGGGCCGCGCCGAGGGGTTCAGGGCCTTGCTCAGATGAGCGAGCGAGCCAACGCCCTCCTAGACCCAGCCCTGGCCGAAATCGGTCGCAAGCAAAATATGAGCAAGCCAGAGATCAGCCCTGTGCCTCCGGGGCCCGGGTCGGGGGCCCACGCGCGCGATCCCGGCATGCAACGGGCCGCCCCTCCCGCCCCGCGCCGCGCCCGCGCCAGATATTTAGGGCGACGAATTGGCGATGTAATTGCAGCTGCGCAGTAGAGCACGCACGCCGCAAGAAGACGGCGGCGGCGACCCATTACTCTTGAGGAGCTCGTGAGTTTACAAGCACAACCGCGGAATGGTGAAGCGCGCGATTCTCATTGTCTGCGCGCGAAACACCGCGCCGCATTCGAATGAAGCCTATAGCTGCTCCAAGCAACAGCACATCGAATGATATCATTTAGTAGCACGCTACGCTAGGAGAGCGATGAGAGGAGCAGCTCACCGACCACGGGAAGCAAGAACTGGGCAACAGCACGGCGCGCCCAGCGCAGCACAGGTACTGGAGCATCGGCGAATGGCACCCGCGAGTCTCGAGACGCGGGCGCGGCGCCCGCGGCGGCATCAGACCACGGTCGCCCACCAGTGGAGGAATGGCCATATTATCACCCCCATGTTCGGCCATTTCTCGTTCGAGGACGAACCGACGCCGATCCGGGGAGACCTGAAACAAGATGCGAATCTGCGGGCACTCCAGTTCTGAGAGAGCATGCGCGAGGGAATACACGGGCTCGATGAGGAGGGCGGGTATCTAGGGATGCGTATCCAGGCGGCGTGGCTACAGGCGTTTACCGACGAGGAAGCGCAGGGGGAGTTTCTCAATCAAGGCTATACAGCACAACCGAAAGGACTGCATATGTCAGCAGTACCGCCACAAGAATGGCACCCCAGCCAGTTGCCCACCCGAACTATGATTACTGCAACGGCAAGCACAGGTGGAGGAGAATGAAAATGTTGGTCCGTCCTGCACGATGGAATATCGTGCCCGACTTGATTCGACGCATATAAGGCAGTCACACAACGCAGAATGGCCAAACATGGACAGCGTGATGCGTGGACTAGAATAGTCACCACGAATGCCCGCCCTTTCTGCCTCATCACGTTCATCTGCGCGAAGACGGCCCAGCGTCATCTTATCTCGACCGTGGCCAGGGGTGGGCATTGCATTGGTCGCTCGGGATATACAGGAGGGCGCCATCATCTTGATCGCGTCGGCTGTCATCTTGGCGAGCTTCGGGCCCAAATCTTTGAGCAGCTACAGGAGCGCCCACATAGCCACGCGCCACCTTGCAAAGCATTATCCGAGCTGGTACCGACACGTCCTCTTCGATCTCGCAACGTCGTCCGCTGTCGCCGACCGCGCGCGGGGCTCGAAGAGAGGCGCCGACGCCAGCGCAGGCTCAGACGGACCAGCCCACAAGGCGCAGATGCAAGAGTTGTTTGCCAAGGGCGAGGGCGTGACCACAGTCGAGAAACTGGTCATTGCACTCGCAAAACTAAGTCTGACAAGCGCGGCCGAGATCAGGGATATCACAAACATGTAGTGGAATACGGCACGCGTCGACGCCGAGTCGCCCATCGCAGTCGAGATGATGGCCCAAGGGAAGTCGCGCCACGAGGCGACATACACGGCTAAAGGGGACCTTGTCGTTCAAGATCGTTTCGGCCATCCATGCGCGCACATCTTGGCAGGTCTCATGCTTTGATTATCGAAGACGCAGATCGAGCTCGAGCCAGCCAACAAGCAGTGCCTGACCGAGTTCTGGACGCTGGAGGCGGCAACGGAGGTCAAGACGCCAGTAGACCTGCCGGGCAAAGCGACGCACTGCAAACGCAAGGGACCCAAGTCAAGGGCGGGGAGCCAGGCTTCGCGAAGGTCACGATTGCGATGAGCACGGAGCTCGGCACAGCGCAGACGACAATCTTGGCGGCGCCAGCGCAGAGCGGCGGCATCAAGAAGCACGGCCCTGCCCCCAGGGGCCCCCTGGAGCGGGCCGCGCAGGACTTCCTCGAGGTGCTCGTGGGTTCCTCGGCGGGCAAGAAGAAGTCGTAGGGCAGTCTCAGCCTCAGAGGTTGACGGCTATCCCGCGCGCGCAGACCGGGCAGTTCCCCCATCGGTTCCTGCAGATGGTGGAACGAGGCGCAGGGACGTTGGAGGCCGCGCTCCGACAACCAGGCGTTGCAGCCGCCAGTTTAGCACTGCAGCCGCCCGCGCAGCGGAGGAAAGGGAAGAGGAAAGGGGGGTGGGTGAATGGCCGCGGTGTTTCTCGGGCCGCTGAGCCTTCTTCTGGGAGCCAAATTCGCCCACCGCCCCGAACCCAAATTTTGAGCAAGTTGTTGGAGGAGGATTGAGGCCGGATGTAGTAGGTGACCCAGTCGTGCTCTGGATGGTGGGAGCGGCCACTGCGTCCCCACTGTCCAGGGAGGGGTGGCTCGCCCCGCCCTTCAGCCCCAAGAATATCTCATGGTTTGTGGTGGTGCGGGGAGGCCCTTCAGCTCAGTCGGCAAACGAGGGTGCCTCAGACCGCCTATGCAGAGCTCCTGCCGGCATAAGCAGCCGCCTCAGGAGTTCCTCAATCGGTCTTCAGGGCGAAGACAGGTTTTAACCTGAATGTTACAAACTGACGATGTTGCCCCGATTTGCCCAGACATTTTATACGACCAAACGAATCTAGTGCCCCCAGAGCTCGATTCCGATTCCGGCTCCTCCTCCTCCGACTCCACATGATGAGCATGACCATCATCACCGTCATGGCCGTCGCCGTCGCACATGCAGTTTCACCTCTAGCACAGTGTTTCTCAGCATCATATCGCCTTTTCTTTGTTCCCATAGTTATAGTCATCAACCTCGTCTTGATCACCACCGTCATCATCAGCATGCTCGTCATCACCATCAGCCCCGTCATCACCAACATCACCACCACCATCATCATCACCATTATACGACTACCAGCATCAGCATCGCCATCAGCTTCATCATTTTCCGCATCATCATCACATGTACCAGCATTATCATTTCTGGCATCAGCAACATCGCCGTCATCAACGTCCAATCATCATTGTCGTCATCATCACAATCCTCTGCATCATCAGCATCAGCCGCATCATCAGCAGCATCGCCGTCATTAACCTCGTCATACCACTTGTTGTGATAGTCGCAAGCTGTCTCTGCAGTTGGTTCGCTTAGCACGCGAGCTCAAAGCGATAGAATTGTGTGTGCGGCTGTGTTGCGTTCGGGTGGAAGTATATCCCACCCTTTCCAGTGTAACACACCATCGGCGATGCATAGCGCTGGTCGAAGGAATCAAATCCTCTTCGTCGTCGGCGGAGACTGGGCGGAGGCACGGGGGCGGGTTCTAGAGGCACGGGGAAGGGGGGTAGCGGAAGGGAAAGGGGGAGGTGGAGGCGAGAATTGGGAGCAGGATGAGGTGAAGGAGGGGGAGGAGGAGGAGGAGGAGGAGGAGGAGGAGGAGGAGGAGGAGGAAAAGAAGGGAAGGAGAGGAAGAGGAGGATCAGCAGAAGGAGAGAAACGAGGAGGCGTGAGAGGTGGACGATGAGGAAGCGAGGATGGAGGAGCACCAACAGCAGCAGCCGAAGCAGGAGGAGGAGGAGGGTTCGAGCTCCGCAGTCTCGGGCTCTGCAGGGGGGGGGGGGGGCGACCGGGGCCGCGCCCGCGCCGCTGCGCGCGCTGGCAGCGACCCCCCCTGGGCGGCCGGCGGCGCGGGCGGCCGCGGCTCCAAGGCCTCAAGGGGGAAGGGGAAGGAAAGGGGGGAAGGGGAAGAGGAGGAGGAGGAGGAGGAGGAGGAGGAGGAGGAGGAGGAGGAGGAGGAGGAGGATTTTTCGACATCAGCTGCTGCAACGCGCAGCACAAAAGTTCGAGGCGTCTGACGGGAGGCAGCCACAACGAGACTATTCGCACAGCAGGCAAACACCGTGCTGAGCTGGCGGCGACAAGCTGCGACGGCAGCTGGTGGCATCCGCGGCTCGGCCGAGAGAGAGCTCGGGCGAGGGCCGCGGGCGGCGGAGGGCCCCGAGGGGGAGGGCCCCCGCGCGGAGGCCCGCAGCCGAGTGGCCCCTCACAGGCACGCCTGGCCCCCAACGGAGGGCCAGGTTACCCCTGGACGGGGGGCCAAAAAGCAGTCGGTCCAGGGGCCTCGCTCGACCGTGACCCCAGCCAGGTGGGTGTGCTTACCCTTGCAAACACTGGCCCAGGCAGACTTCGCACAACCACTATAGGGGAGCTTCCTCACACTTCTTGAGGAGGTTCCTCGGCTGGACAGGTCCTGAGTAGGCGTTACACCTCAGGCATATGACCATGACAGCTCCATCGGAGCACACCAAGGCTATACAACGATGGTTGAGACGTGCAAGCTGGGCAGGATCCAGCGAGACTAGGCCTGCGCAGGCGCCAGGCGGTGGCGGGTCCACAGCCCATCATGATAAAGGCTGGCGTGCCTCGGCTGACCTTTAGGCAAAAAATACACACACTGAACGTAGTTACGCACTTTCTTCCACCCATGCGTTGGCGCCTGCTGGGGAAACTGCTTCTCCACTGCAGGCTGCTTGACCAACTCCGCAGTCTTCGGATCAAGCTTGGGCCACTCGTGGAGCAGAGCATCTGAGAGGCGCACGACGCACTTGGAAACTTTCAACACTCGAGCGAGCCAGACAGTATCTTCAGAAGAGGGCTGCGGATGCCTGGCGATTGTGTTCCTAACAACCGAATATGCGAGGTCATTGCCTACGTTGAAGAATATCTGCTGATCCGACAGCTCTTAGGATTCTTCGACGTGGGAGTTGACCTTAAAAACTCCATCAACCAGCTTCCTGTGAGTGGGCAGGAGGAAACCAGAGTACACTCTTTTGTAGGACAGGGCCCGCACGAACGGTTCGTTATCCTGTACAACAACAGTCTTACAATCGGAATAGATCGAGCTACCTCTCTGGGCATGCATAGACGCAACCGCGTAAGCACCGAACTCTCCCCCCTGGGCGGTTTGAAAATTCGGCGCCCACAGAGGGCTGCAGATTCGAGCTTTCTCGTTGCCAACATCATCCACTAGTATTACTCCCCACCCAGCCCTGGAGAGCTCTGGAACGACATGCGGCACACACGACCCGTCGACGAACACCTGACCTTGCAGATCGAGGCTCTTGCACATAGGATCATGAGCCCGCCGCACTTCGAGACCATGAGAACCATCACCATCGCGAGCAGGGCGGAGAAAAGCGTCCCCTGGATGTCGGAAAAGGCCCCAAGTAAACAGAATGAAAGTTTCTTCATCCGCCTCGAGGGGGGAGGAGGAGGAGGAGGCAGAGGGGGAGGGGGAGGGGGAGGGGGAGGAGGAGGAGGAGGAGGAGGAGGAGGAGGAGGAGGAGGAGGAGGTGGAGGAGGATCGGAAAAATAAGAAGATGAGGAAGAGGAAGAGGACGAGGAGAGAGAGAGAGAGAGGGTGGAAAAGGGAGAGAGAGAGAGAGAGAGGGTGGAAAAGGGAGAGGGGATGAAGGAGGAGGGAGGGAGAAGAGAAGGAGGACGAGGAGCACGGAGTTCATGAAGAATGCGGTGCTTCGGCGCCGCCATCGTACCTCGGAACGCCGAGCTTCCTTGCGCCGCTGCGCCCCGCGTGGTGGTGTTGGTGCATTCGCTCGGGGCGATGGTGGCGACGCACCTGCTGCTGCAGGACGCCCGTGTGGTTGGAGCGGTGCTCGTGTCCCCGGCCCCTGGACGCGGACCCATTGCTGGAGCGACGTGGTTTGCGGAGCAGGTGCCCAAAGCTCATTGACGACGGCGTGGTCTCGTTGGGCGACCTTCTGCCCGGCGGCCACGGATTCCGCAGATGCGAGGGGTGCCGCGGGGCCGCGCGATGTGGCGCTTGCATCGGGCATGATGCGTGGCACACTTGGCGCTGGACAGCAGGGAGGGAAGGAGGAGGAGGGAAGCGGAGGAGGAAGAGGAGGGGCTGGAGGAGGAGGAGGAGGAGGAGGAAAAGGAGGAGGAGGAGGATCAGTGCAAACCCAAGATTCATCAAAGATGTTGGAATACACCCTCCCTCCAAGCTCCCCCGTCCCAGGCCCGTAGCAGGTTTAAATTCCACCGAGGAACGCGGCCCGTTGGGGCACAACCGTGTGAAAATCTTGAAGCGTGCCCGAACACCATTGCCAGGACTTCAATGCCACGAGTCAGCTTGGCTGTTACGTCTTGACGACCCTGAATCGTACCAGAACACCGCTCTTGGTAGTCCAACGCCGCAAATTCACGTACATGGTGCGCCTTGGTAGTCCTGAATCGTTCCAACATGTTGTCTTTGTAACGTGAACCATGGAAACCCGTGAAGCATTTGCAAATGTTTGAAACGAGCGTGCGCGGCGTCAAGGCGAGATCAACATGTTGAAAAGGAGCAGCCTTCAATCCGTGAAATAAAGTGAGAGCCACAGTTAGAAAACGAGCCGCCCCCAAACCTTGAAACGATTGCGAGGTGTTAGGACGAGTGCGAGCGGCGTTAAGGCGAGAGCAACCGTTTTAAAACGCCCTGGTTGCAATACACGGGACTCATGTGTTTGTTAGAACGATCGCGCGCGGCGTTAGGGCGACAGCCACCTTTTGAAAACGGCCCGCCATCCATCTGTCAAGTTGCTGCCATGCTCCTGGTGTCAGGTCCATAGGTGGTAAGGAGGTCTCAGGCGAAACACCCAGCCCGCCCTGCCGACTGGCCTCGGAGTGCGACGGGGGATTATTCGAAAGGAAAGCAATGGAGGAGGGAGGAGGAGGGAGGAGGGATGCGGGAGGAGGGATGCGGGAGGAGGGGGGAGCTGGAGCAGGAGGAGGAGGAGGAGGAGGAGGAACCCTATTGTGCAAAAGGCCCGCCCGCAGCCGTTGCAGACTGACGAAGCGAATGTGCGCGGCGCGTCGGCGAGAGCCCGTTTTTGAACACAACCCATCCTCAAAATTTGTAAGAGTTGCACGTGTTTGTATGAACCCCCTTTTCCCCATTATTGTGCGAAGCAGTTTGCTTCGCAAACCACCCGCCTTTTTTTCCAGAGTTGTGTGAACGAGCTTCCGTTGTACCCGGTTACCAGGATTGCGTGTCCCATACGACTGCATTGTGAAATCACAGCCCCACAGGGAGTGGAATGCGGGTCGCATCGTATCGCATCGTTTGAATCGATATGCGCGGCGTTCGCGCGAAAGTCCCGCGTCGGCAAGGATCCGCCCTCCACCCATGTAGTTGGTACAAACTGTTAGGACGAAGGAGAACGGCGGTGCGGCGAGAGCCCCAATTTTGGAAAACCGCCCGCCATCCATCCGCGCAACGGATTGAAACTGTTCAGCGAATGTGCGCGGCCCTACGGCGAGAGCTTCCGTTTGAAAACCATACGCCTTCCATCTTTGCAATTCTGGGATCGGTCAAGCTTTATGGTCATACAATACGAGGAAGTTCCCCGCGAAACGCCTGGCCCACAGACACGTTAGACAAAGAGGAGGTACCTCAAGGAAAACGGATGGCAGAGGGCGGTGGGGAGGAGGAGGCTATGGAGGAGGACGAATAGGAGGAGGACGACAAGGACGAGGAGGAACACGAAGAAGAAGAGGAGGTGGAGGAAGGACAGGGAGGAAAAGTGTCGAGGAGGAGGAGGAGTAGGGCGGCTGTCAGGGAGGGGGCGGAGGTGGAAAAGGAAACACCGGTGGGGAAGCAAGAGGAAGGATGGCAGGATGGGGAGGGAGGAGGCAGAAGGATGGTGAAGGGACAGGAAGGAGCAGGATCAGAAGTGGCAGGCAGGGGGAAGGGGGGAGGAGTAGGTAGAGAAGCCAGAGTAGAGGGGGGGGAGGAGGAGGGAGAGGGCGCCGCGCGGTGAGATGATCCACGGGCTGCTAGACCAGATCCTGCCCGGTCTCTCGGACGAGGACCCTTGGGGGACGGAGAGGTCGTCCGCGCATGTGTCTTGGGGAGGGAGGAGGGAGAGGGAGGGAAGGAGGGGAAAGCGAGGAGAAGGAACGAGGAGGAGCAGGACGAGGGATAGTATAGAGCATGTGGAGGCGGAGGACCTGCTTGCTCCCTTCCCCGCCTCCCTTTCTTGAGCCTTCACTCTTCTTCCCCAGCTTTGGCTCCAGCCTCAGCGGCGCAGGGGCACAACGAAGCGCCTTCGGGCCAGCTCACCCGACGCGCTTTTCCGCTCACATGGGCGCCTCCCTCTCCAAACGCCCTTTGATCCCCCTTGCATCCCTCCCCCCCCCTCATCCCCCCCCTCATCCTTCATCCCCCCCCTCATCCCCCCCCCTCCCGATCCCCCCCCCTCCGATCCCCCCCTCATCCCCCCCCCCCTCATATCCCTCATCCCTCCCCTCCTCCCCCCCCTCATCCTATCCCTCATATCCCTCATCCCCCCCCCTCATCCCCCGATCCCTCATATCCTCCCCCCCTCATCACCCCCCCTCCCGATCCTCCCCCCTCCACTCGCTCCCCCCCCCCTGCCCCGCCCACCCCACTCCGCCTCGAGGGGCAGAGCAGAAGGAGGCAGCACCGCGGGCGCTGGCCCTCGGCCCGCGTCGTCGTCGTCGTCGCCCTCGTCCTCGTCCTCGTCCTCGTCCTCGTCCTCGTCCTCGTTTTCGTCGTGTTCGTCGTCGTCGGCGTCGGCCCCGCGGAGGAGGACGACCCCAGCCCCGACGCAAGGTACGTCTTCAGCCCTGGCGGGGCGGGGCGGGGCCGGCCGGCCCCCCAAGGGCGCCCTTCCTCAGCGCGCGGCGCGCACGGCCCGCGGCCACGGTGCGCCAGCTGGCGCAGAAACGTGTCCAAGGGCCTCCAGGGGGGCCTCCCCAGAGGATGAGGAGGAGGCGGGAGGAGGAGGAGGAGGCGGGAGGAGGAGGGAGGAGGAGGAGGAGGAGGAGGAGGAGGAGGAGGAGGAGGAGGAGGAGGAGGAGGGAGGAGGAGAGGAGAGGAGGAGAAAGGAGGAGGAGGAGGACGGAGGCGGAGGCGGAGGAGGAGGGAGGAGGAGGAGGAGGAGGGAGGAGGAGGAGGAGGAGGAGGAGAGGAGGAGGGGAGGAGGAGGGAGGGAGGAGGGGAGGAGGAGGGAGGAGGAGGAGGAGGAGGAGGGAGGAGGAGGAGGAGGAGGAGGAGGGAGGGAGGAGGAGGAGGAGGGAGGGGGAGGAGGAGGGGGGGGCTGCAAGGGAGGAGGGGAGGAGGCGGAGGCGGAGGAGGAGGAGGAGGAGGAGGAGGAGGAGGAGGAGGAGGAGGAGGAGGAGGAGGAGGAGGAGGAGGGAGGAGGGAGGAGGGAGGAGGGAGGAGGAGGAAGGAGGGAGGTGGGAGGAGGGAGGAGGGAGGAGGAGGAGGAGGAGGAGGAGGAGGAGGAGGAGGAGGAGGGAGGAGGAGGGAGGAGGAGGAGGAGGAGAAGGAGAAGGGAGGAAGGAGCAGGGGGGGGCTGCAAGTCCCTTCGGTTCTTCCCTCCCACTGCGGGAAGCGCCTCCCTTGAGTGGCGATCGTCTGGTGGGCCTGCCACTCAGGGGAGGGACGCGCTGTGGTAAAGGATCCACCGTCAATCGTTCGAGCTAAGAGAAGAGCTAGGGGGTAGGATGAGACGGGCCAATCAAGTGTCCAGCCTCCTCGTCCTCCTCCTCCTCTCGTCCTCCTCCTCCTCCTCCTCCTCCTCCTCCTCCTCCTCCTCTCCTCCTCCTCCTCCTTCCCTCCCTCCCCCTCCTCCTCCTCCTCCTCGTCCTCCTCCTCCTCCTCCTCCGCCTCCTCCTCCTCCCTCCTCCTCGTCATCCTTGTCCTCCAGCCTGGCGTAAGTGACACATGATTCTGACATGGTCGCGGAGTCCACAGAAGTCTCGAATGAAGACTCGTGTCGAGAAGGGACCGCCTTCCATGCGGACCGATTGCGCAGTTTGAAACGTCGAGTCATACAAGTTGAAGGACGCCCGAGGGAGAGACACGTTATGAAAACGAACAAGCTTGCATTGTGATAATTGCTGGTGCTGTTCAATCACAAACGTGTGCGGCACAAGTGGAATCAACACGTGAAGCAAACTACCAGACGGCTATCCATATTCGTAGCCGTTGGAATTTCACACAGTTTTTGAACTAATGAGCGCGGCGCTAAGGCGAGACCAACATGTTGAACACAACACGCCGTCCATGGTTGCGTTGATTGAAGTTGTTTGGACTAGCTCACGCGTCGCTAAGGGGCAAACCACAGGTTGAGAGGCACCGACGCTCCACCTGTGCAACTGTGGGAAACTAGTAACCCGATTGCGCGTGGCGAAGGCGAAAACCATCGTGTTGAAAACGGGGTTGAAAACGGTTACCCTCCCACCATCAGTCTAAGTACTGGAGTCCCGCTGGCTTCAGGATCGTGAAACGCAAGGAAGTCTCAAACGAATGTCCCAGCCCGGCCGACGGGAACGTCGAATGGTGCGGCATGGGGAAGTTGTCTACAGGGAAGAGGGATGGAGGAGAGGAACAGGGGTATCAACAGGGAGGGAAGAGGAGAAAGGAGGAGAGGAGGAGAAGAGCAGGAGAAGTGCAGGAGAAGATGAGGAGGAGGTGTGGGAAGAGGAGGAGGAGGAGGAGGAGGAGGAGGAGGAGGAGGAGGAGGAGGAGGAGGAGGAGGAGAGGAGAGGAGAAGAGGTGGTTGAGAAGAGGGGGAGACGAGGAGGATATCCGATGGGCTTTTGTCAACGCTGCAGGTGGCGTAGCCGAACCCCTTACCACAGAACTCCAGAGGGGTGCACTCCCCGACGAGCCTCGCTCCGTCGCACCCTGGATAGATCGAGGAGGAGCAGGGGAGAGCAGAAGGAAGAAGAGCGGAGAGGGGGGGGGAGAAAGAGCAGGATAAGGGAAAGGACGAGGACTAGGAGTGGGAAGGGAGAGGGAAAAGGGTAGGGAGACGGAGGACAGAAGAAAAGTAGCAGGAGGAGGAGGAGGGTGTCGCTGCCTCTAGGGGTCTGGACGTTTGCGCCTGGCGATATGCACAGCATTTTTGAACCAATGTGCCAGGGGTTCAAGGGGAGATAGGAAGAGGAGAGTGCTTGCACGGGATAGGAAGAGGATAGTTAAAAAGATATCGGGAAGACAAGGGGAGACGAAAGGGGACGGGAAAGGGTAGAGTCTAGTTGAGGAGAAAGGGCGGAAGGACGATGAGGCATGTGCAGTCGAAGCGTTTCAATAATGTTCTAACATATTGATGCTCCCAGGAGTATAACTACTTACATATCCGCCAGAACCATCTTAGAAGTTGCATAATGGCAAGTAGACAACGTCAGAGGGCATCATCCACACATCCTTGGCACACTGGTTCTCCGCAGCAGTACATATGACAATCGCAGAACGTGTTCATAAGGGTGGATCGTTGCCACAGTAGTCTAGTGAGTTGCGCAGCTAGCCTAGATTGGAGCACACTCGATGCACAATTTCAGATGCGCGCGGAAACACACGAGCAGCATCACGCTGGACCCTACATACCGTAGACACATCCAAGGCGAAAGCAGCCTGCCAGCGGGTGCCCAGGTAGGTGTCTGTTCCCGGACCTCCCCATGGCCCCTCAGAAGTTCTGGGGGGAGCTGAGGGCTTTCAGTCTTCGGCGAAGACCGTCCCCCAGGAGTTCGCATAGCAAGATGTCGTACCGCGTGTGCCTCCAGTATCACAACATAACATCCAGTGGTTCGCCGTGTCGCCCCTCGTCATCCACGCCCTCGCCATCCCCGCCCCTCCCCTACTGGGCCGAGGCCAGGGGGGAGCAGTGCGAGAGGGGGCGGCCCTCTCGGCAGGTGGCGGGGCTTCCTCTTTCCGCCCCGTATCGCGGCCTGGCGTGGACGACAGCAGTCGCCATCCTTCTGGAGGCGCCTCGATCAAAAGTTCGGCTCGAAGGAGGACGCGAAGCTCGGCGGGGCTTCTCAGAAGGGTCGGGAGGAAGTGAGAAGTGAGAAGAGGCGGGGCCTCTCAGAAGGCTCGGGAGGCCTCAGGCCTCCTGGGAAGTTCCCTGAGCCTTCCCCGAAGGCACAGAAAACTGTTCACCGCCGGAGGACTTCAGAGAAGCCCCGCCGCCTTCCGAGAAGGCTTGCCCCCTCTCACTTCCCCCCTCGGCATGCCGCCGAGAGGAGCTGCGCAAGGACCGGGAGATCGCGCTGCGGGCCGTGCGGCAGCGCGGCCTGGCCCTGGAGCCTCGGCGGAGGAAAGAGGCATGCGGGAGCACCGTGTGTCGCGGTCTCCTGCACACCCGCCTCCAGGGCCTCCTCCAAGCGCCCGCCACACGGCGCTGCGGGAGAGCCGCGTGTCGCGGCCCCCTTCACGTCCGCCAGCGGGGCCTCCACAGCCATGGGCTACGACCGCCTCGTCGGTGCCCTCCTCGGAGCTGTCGCCGACCGAACTGCTCACGTCGTGCACCAGCGTACCCGTAGCCCATGACCTGCCCGTCTTGGGGTCCAGACCGCGCAGCAGCCTGCCCCTCCTGGCCGCCAGGTTGCTGACGTAGGTGCGCTGGTGGTGCCACTTGTCGGTGGGCGGCCCGCAGCGCGCCTTCTGCAGCCCCCTCGCCGCTCGGGCCTGCATCCACGCGACGCAGACTTCGCAGAAGATGGTGGGCCCCGCGCGCCGCAGCCGATGCCCGAGGTGCAGCACCGCGCCACCGCCGCCCCCCTCGCGAGACCAAGGGTTCGGCCTCTGCGCCAGCTTGCTTGGCCTGCCACCGTCGCCCTGCTGCCGCGCCTCAGCAGGGGAGAAGGAGGAGGAGGAGGAGGAGGAGGAGGAGGAGGAGGAGGAGGAGGGGGAGGGAGGAGGGAGGAGGAGGAGAGGAGGAGGAGGAGGAGGAGGAGGAGGAGGAGGGAGGAGGAGGAGGAGGGGAGGAGGAGGAGGAGGAGGGGAGGAGGAGGAGGGGAGGAGGAGGGAGGAGGAGGAGGAGGAGGAGGAGGAGGAGGAGGAGGAGGAGGAGGAGGAGGAGGGAGGAGGAGGAGGAGGAGGGGAGGAGGAGGAGGAGGGGAGGAGGGGAGGAGGAGGGAGGGGAGGGGGGGAGGGGAGGGGAGGGGAGGGGAGGGGAGGGGGAGGGGAGGGGAGGGGAGGGGAGGGGAGGGGAGGGGAGGGGAGGGGAGGGGGGGGAGGGTGAGGGGAGGGGAGGGGAGGGAGGGGAGGGGAGGGGGGAGGGGAGGGGAGGGGAGGGGAGGGGAGGGGAGGGGAGGGGAGGGGAGGGGAGGGGAGGGAGGGGAGGGAGGGGAGGGGAGGGAGGGAGGGAGGGAGGAGGGAGGGAGGGGGAGGGAGCGAGGGAGGGAGGGAGGGGAGGGAGGGAGGAGGGAGGAGGGAGGAGCGAGGAGGGAGGAGGAAGGAGGGAGGAGGGAGGAGGAAGGGGGAGGAGGAGGAGGAGGAGGAGGAGGAGGAGGAGGAGGAGGGAGGAGGGAGGAGGGAGGGGAGGGGAGGAGAGGGAGGAGGGAGGAGGGAGGAGGGAGGAGGGAGGAGGGAGGGGGAGGAGGGAGGAGGGAGGAGGGGGAGGGAGGGAGGAGGAGGAGGAGGAGGAGGAGGAGGAGGAGGAGGGGAGGAGGAGGAGCCGCCTCCCCCCCGCGCGCCCCCCCGAGCGGTGGGCAGGCGAGCCTGCGCAGGGGACTCCGAGCCCGGGGACCTGCAGCGCGCTGATAGTCTGCAGCCCGGCGGGGGGCCAGGGAGGGATCGGTCGAGGGCGGCCAATAGGGAGGTGATGGTTGGATGTCCACGGACTTCCCTTGATCTCATGGTGCCCTCTCTTTTCTTCCACGTCCCTTGGCCCCCCTCTGGGCCGCGCACGTGCCTCGGGCCATGATTTGCGACCCCCCCTCTTGGACACCACCCTCTTGGACGCTCCCGAACCTGGGAGGATCTCCAGGCCTCCCACACGGGGTCGGAGCAGATGGGGTAGGAGGATCGCGCCGCATCGCCGATGCATCGGCGATGCGGTTCGATGCGGAGCCCAGTGTTCTCGATGCCGACGGCGCCGATGCATCGCCGACGTTACCGATGCATCGTCGAAGCATCGTCGGTGCATCGGCGATGCGGCGCGATCGTCCGATTCGGATCTCATGTGGGAGGCCTCAAATACCAAATGAACCTGGCGCGACCCCAACTAGGCGAAAGTTTCCTATTGCATGGGCGCAGTGCTTGGCATTGCTTGGCAATGTCTGGCATTGTTTGGCATTGCTTGGCAGTGCTTGGCAGTGCTTGGCAGTGCTTGGCATTGCTTGGCATGAGGCACTGCTTGGTATGAGGAACCGGGGGCGGGGAACCCCGGGAACTCTGGGAAGCTCCGAGGAGCGAGGCACCGTGGGCGGGGAACCTGGGGAACCTCCGAGAAACTGGCAAAGTAATAGGATGCACCGGGGGCAGTGAACCTGGGGAACCTCCGAGAAACGGGCAACGTAGCATTACTAGGCACCAACATTGAACCAATCAAGAACCCCCTAGGCAAGCCTAATTGGGGAAACACGGCATGAACATAATTTCTCGGAGGTACGCTTTACACGCGGATTTCTTAGGTCGGCGTTGGGCCCCCTCTGCACCGCTTCCGACGCCGCCCCTGGTGCGCTCCGCGGGCCAGGGAGGGGGGTCCAGCGCCGATCCAAGAGATCCGCGCGGATCTCCACGAATGTTCTTGTTCGGGGTCGACCTTTGACAGTTGGATTCCCAACCGCGGTCTGCCCTTTTTCCACTCCTTCTCTCCCCCTCTGCACCTCACCTGCAGCCGTTGGGCTTTGAGCCGGTTGCGCTTTCCCTGTGCGAGGGGGTACATCCCTGAGCTCTGCAATGGCGACGCTCCCTGATGGTGGGCATCCCTCCGGCGGTGGCGGGCCGCCTCTCCCTGGGGGGGGGAGGTGGGCGCCCGCCTGAACGCGCCCCGACCTCGGGCCGTGGGCCCCACCGAGGCGGAGTACCGAGACCCTGCGCTCACCCCTTGGTCGTGACAAGGCCACCCTGTCCCGCGGGGGGTCTCCCCCGTGGACCTCCCCGCGCGCGGCGCCGACGAGGACGCTTGGGAAGCGGGCCGCGTGGCGCAAGCGGCGTGGTAGACGCCACGGCGTCCCTCGGGCCAGCCTGCGGGAGCACGTGCCACGGGAGGGGGGGGGGCCGCGGCCCACACCTGCGGGCACGGGCAGGAGCGGAGACCTGCCCCGTCCCAGACTGGGGGAGGCCAGGCGGCGGAAGGCGGCGGCGGCCAGGGCAGGCGGCGGCGGAGATCCAGCCCCCGGAACCAGGACGGGATGGTTGGACCTTCTCTCTATCGGGTGTTGCTAGAAGTACCCCCTGGCCCAAGGTACCCCCAGGACCATCGGGGTGGCCCAGACGGCCTCCAGGGCACCCCTCACGAGGGCCAAAGGGCCCCAGGGGCTCCAAAATGGAGCGAAAAGCTAGGGGTTCCTCGGGCCAGGGGCACGTCTAGCAACCCCCGATTTGGGAGGTTCGACGTCTAACCCTTGCAGGGGAAGGGCCAAAAGCTGGAGGGAGGGGGCCTGTCCCCAGCCAGCACGGGGAAAGAGGTCCCGCCGGGGAAGCGGCGGAAGGCCCGCTTTGGGAGGCAGCCTGAACCGGCGGGGTATAAGTAGAGCCAGGAGGGAGCGAATGGCGCATGCCGGTAGCACCAGCATTTGGGCCGGCGATGCGGACGGAGGCCCTACCGCGGAGGAGGCGGATCACCAGGAACGCACCCCCGAAGGCGACCACGCAGCATTCCACTACATTGCTTGCACTACGCAGCGAGCCCACATAGATTGCATGACCTCGAAGCACCTCATAGAGTACACCGCGTAGATCGTTAGAAATAGAGGTCACCACACACCTTGCACCATACACGTCCGCCACACGGATGACGCCACATCGACCGTGCACACCACACGAGTTGCGCAGATTGCTTAACATCGGTTGTACTACACAGTTTGTACCACATTGATTGCACCACGCAGGTTCTGCCACGTTGATTCTCTTGTCACGAACAGGGCGGGATTATCGGCCCGCCATGGGGACGTGCGCATTACAGATTGTTCTGCCCCATCGTTCATTTTAAATCTGGATTCATAGCATCCCAGCCAGGCCCGCACCCCACCATCCTGCGCAAACAGCACCTAGGCGCGCTCACGGGTTTGTCACAAAACCTGTAGTTTACATTTGAGTATGCCCCATCTATTCGTCCTAAATATGGACGTGTGCCATCCCAGCCCGGCTGGCAATTATCCCCCCCTTCCACCCACCCCACGCACCACCAGCGCTCGTGTTTCCCATCTTCAATAATCAAAAATCCCGTGGAAAGCATGAGACGAAGTGCGAGTGCGCACGCTGCCGCGCGCGAATGCGGAAACATCCGATTTCGCACGGATCGGATTGGAAAAATACAAAGTTGGTTTGCAGCCTCAGTTGTTCAAGTGAAGGAGGCATGCGCACTGTTTCCTTCCAAGTTCGACCAAACGGGACGCGCGCGCATGTCGAAATCATTCGAACGCACTTGCGGGCGCTGAGGCGTGGGACAGGCGAAGATGAACGCAAAGAACTTCGAGCTCTCCCCCGATGCCGTCGCTGTTTTCCGCAGCATCAACGGCCACGGGGATTTCGGCGCAGCCCTGGAGGTACTCCACGCGGAGAAGCCACGCGCCGGCTGAAAGGACGCACCGAGACGCGCGTCGATCCAGCTCACCACGGCCACCAGCGGCCATTGCCAAACAGTCCCCACACTATACGACCGCGAGTTCATCGCCAAGAATGCGGATGACGACTTGAGCCTTCTAGTTGACGAACGCTTCGCCGAGACCACGGCGGCCAGAACCCCCGAAGAGAAGGCACGGCACGCGAGCGGTTGGCGGGCGCAATCGGGCGCGGCGAGTTGGACATGCCCAGCGGCACCATCGCGCCGCGCTGTGGGGCCCGACGCGCACCAGCCAGCGACGGAAGATGCGAATTGTGTCAGACGCATGTATCAACGCTTCTGAAGCCCATAGGCAGCGTCGGGCTCGCTGGCGCGGCCCCGCACGGCCAAGTCTGAGGCCGACCCCGATGGTCTGGCCACAAGCTGTAATTACCTCAGACCCCCCATGGCTTGGCCTTCGCACTTATCTCGCGCGCTGACCAGCGCGCCTACGCGGTCGCACTGCAGCGTCGCGCCCCGGCGCCTGCACGCAGCCACGCCCGCGAGTTCAAGGCGTTGGCGGGGCGAGTTCAGGCCGCACGGCGGCGCGACATCCCGAAAGGAACAGAGGAGAGGCACGCTTCCAGGACGATAGTTAGCGAGATATCTACATGGACCCAGCGCCCCCCGCACGGGCCGCGCGAACTCGACTGGGCCAACCCACCCATTGGCAGACGACGTCGCCGCCTGCTCGATTGGGCAACGCGGCGCATTCAAGACGACGACGCGAAGCACCTTCACAAGCGAGCGGACGGCCGCCATCAGTTCGAGATCACGGACTGGCCACAGCTACCACACTCCACGAGGCGTTCAAGGGCCCGCGCGAATCCGACGCCGCGCGGCGCCAGCGAGTCGGGCAGATGCCCCTGGCACTGCAGATCGAGATGAGCTTGGACTCGGCGGGCGCCGCCACTGCCGCGACGGCGCCCTGGCCGAAGCCGCCAGCGGAGCATTTTGGCGGACGCCGCAAGAAGACTCGCGCGCCGCCCACTGACGCGCTCGGCTCGGCAGGCAAGCTCTGGCGTTCTCGGGTCAAGAGCGCCAGCCGACTGCGCGCGACGACCAGCTGCAACTTGCGCGACCGCCGTGCGCTTGTTCTTCCCGGTCGAAGCCCCCCCCCCCCCCCCTCTTACTCCGACGCCCACCCGCAAGGTCTCGCGTTCTCGTTGCAGGGAAAGACTCGCGGCACTATCTGATGAGCATCAGCGCGACAGGCACTGGCCATCGCTGGTGGCACGGGCGCGAGAGCAGGAGTAGCGGTGCATGCGCACTCGACGCGCGCCCTGGGCCCGCGGCCGTTTTTTTGTTCGCCGGCGCGGGGCCCGCGCGGCGGCGTTGCTGGCAGAGGCCGCCTCGCCCCCGCTGGAGATCATTCCGCCCTCGGACGAGTCGACCAGCGGCTCTTCGGCGAAACGGGCGGGGCGCCAGCCGCGAACCGAGCCCCCGAGGTCCCAGTTGGATCGAGGCATCAGCAGGCCCGCCGCGAGCGCTCGCCCCATCTCGCGAGGCCGCGACGCACGCCAGCGGCGACGCCTCTCCTAACGGGCGGCGAACCAGCGCCGAGACCCGGCGTTCTGGCGGAGCCCCCGCTGTCCATCGAGAAGAAGGACGAGGGTCGATGGCGCCGGGCGCGCACTCCGCGCGAAAGGACTTCTGGCCCCTGACCTACACAACCACCTCCAACACCATGCTTCCCAGCCAGCGGCTCGATCGGCCCCGCCGTCGCCGCCGCCGCGACTCCATATGGTCACCCCATCCGACGCCGAGGCCCTCGGCCAGGCCGGCCAGGCCGAAGTTGTCGGCCGCGAGCCAGGGCTAGCCCCCCGTTCTTCCTCTGCGCCCCAAGGACAAGCGCCGCCCACGGCCCCCGCCGTGGTCGAGGAGGAGACCGAGGAGGAGGAGGAGGTGGCCACGCGGGACCCCTTCCTGCGCAGAGCGGGATGGGGCCCCGTTCACGCGTCGCCGTCGGGCACGGCCACGGCCCCAGCGCTGCTGCATATGATGGGCCCGCGCCAGGGCGCGCGCAAGATACCGAGGTCGCGGAGGAGCGGGGCCCTTCTGGCATGCATGAGGTTCCGCGGAGTGGCGGACTTAGTTTTGTCAAGGGGAAGTATCCTCGTTCGCCAGAAGTGCGCTGGGAGACAACGCACGACGGGTGCGTCGCAGCCGACATGTGGACGGCCATCTGGGATACCCTTGACGATTTCGAGTTCTAGGCGCGGGTCTGCAAGGTCAAATGGCAGGCCAGGCCCAGCGACGACGACCTTAGCCTTCGCGCCCGCTATCTTCGGCTCGGCAACGCGGAAGCCGACGCCGCCGCGCGGAAGGCCGGCTGCTCCCACACCAGCGACCCCGTTGCAGAGCGGGTGGTCGCAGGGGCTTTCGACCTCGCGCGGCGCGTGGGCGGGTTTTTCGGGCGGTCCGCGCACGCGTGGCCCTGTCCACAATAGGGACGCAGCCGCGTGCATTGCAGCCTCGCCGCCCCTGCCCCCACCGCTCATTCCCCCGCGCAGGACGGCGGGCACCACGTAATCAAATTCGGCGGTTGGTCTCGACGCGCGCGTCGCCTGCGCAGTGGAACGCAGACGTCGCGCCTACCTCGCTGCGGCGCGGGTGGCCGACGCCGTCGCCTGCGGGCGGTAATTACATGTCCCGCGCATCCCGCGGGCGTTACTCGCGCGACAACACCGGGGCGTTCGCGGAAGGTCGTCGCGGGGACATCGCAAGACACCGCCGCTGCTTTCCGCTTCAACCGGCCGCGGGAGTCACGGGACCCATGCACTGGCGAGCCCTTCGGCGACCGTCGGCCTTTGCTGTTCGACGAGCTGGCGATGGACGCCTGATTTTGGGGCGTCGTCGCGTTGCCAGATGGCCCCGGCGGCAGCAAAAACGCAGCGCCGGCCTCTTGAGCCGCTCGCTGCGCCGCGCGCCAGGTCCCTTCTAGCCCTCCCTCCACCATTCTTCGCCCCCCACCCCCCTCCCTTCATTAGGTACTTGTCCACGGCGTCAGCCGAGCGCCCCAGGCTTAGCACGGCGGGGTTTGTGCATCGAGCAACAGAGGAGGTGGCCACGCAGGATTCGCCGCCGGGCCCCGCTGACCGCCAGAAGGCTCAGCGGTTCATCGCGGAGCGCCACGTCGCCGACCCTTTTCTCCATCGGAGAGCTGCGCCCCCACAGCCTCGACATCATGGGGCCCGCGACACGGGCAGCGTCCACCCGCGAGGCGAAGCTGGCGCACGGGCCAGAGCGTCTCAGCGGCACCTCGTGCAGAGGCCGACGATGGAACGAGCAAGTCCCCACGAGGGGCACGATGCCCTGCAACAAGCTGCGCGGGCGTCTTCGACGCAGGAGGCCGGGCCTCGCGCAGACGCCACCGATGTAGGCGCGGCCACGAGCGTTCGCGGCACGGGCCGGACTCACTGGTAGAGTCTGACACGCGCGACACCCCAGGAGTCGTGCCGTCTGGCGCGGCGCCGCCCACTCGCGACCCCCGCGGCGCCGCGGAGCGAGCTCGAGGTCGAGGTCGAGGTCCGCCTCGCGTCGGGGCCCACGGCCGCCGCTGCCGCCCGACCCTCGCGCCGCCACCCGGCGAGGCGGCAGCGTCGGGGCCTCGACGGGGCGAGGCCGAGGAAGCGCCCGCGCCCCCTGCGCGGGGGCTTCCGAGGGCGGCGAGCCCGCGGACGAAGCCACCGGGGGCGCAGAGCAAGCCGAGCAGGAACGCAACTCGCCGAAGCTGTTTTTTTTGCGCGGTCTCTATTCCATCGCTGACATGGACTGAGAGAGCGCTCGGCGACCAAGGTGGCCGTGCGCACGCACGTCCTTTGCGTTGCACCAGCCCTTCCTTGCGCCTCGCCCTCGCGCAACCCGTCCGCGGCAGCCCCCGTCTTCATTCGGGGGAGCGTAAGACCCGGGTTTGCCAGGACTCGGGTTCGCCATCATTTTCTGACGACCGCGCCTCGGATTTTGACGAGGAGGAGTTTCGTGGGATGTCTGCAGCGGGAGGTCTCGTCAAAATGCAGGCTCGGCCTCGTCAGTTTTTTGACGACCTCGTCGGGGATTTCCGAGTCCCCTGTATCCAGGTCTTACTTCCCCCTGATTCATCTTCGCCAAGCAACGGCCCTGAACACCATCTTCGCCGAGCACTTCAAGAGCACGGGCGAGCTCCCGAGCATAGTCGCGAGCCAGCGCCCTGGCGGCTGCTGTCGTCGCGCGGCGCGGGCGGCGCGGGCGCGTGCTAGCCGTCATGCACCGGCTCCTGCAGGCCTGCAACCACCCCAGCCTCGTGGTGATCAGGGGCAACGCTGGGGAGGAGGGTTGGGGGTTTGGGGGTTTGGGGGAAAACGCGCGGGGGTTGGACAGCTCTGGCCCCCTTTTTCTCGTTTCCACTTGCTCCGCCAGGGCTGTCCGAGCGCCCGCTCAGTCCCGACGCGATAGGAGGCTTGGTTGCCGCCTGGTTTGGGCGCTGGCGCGAGCGCATATCTCCGACAAGGTGAAATGCATTGCACATCCGCTGCTTGTTACGATCATGCCACCTCTCCGCTTCGCACCCCCGTGAGTTGAATTACTCACGTTCCACCTTCCTCCTGAGCAGCAACTACGCATTATGAACACTAAGTAATTACTCCCCTCTCTCAGGGGACTCTGTCCCAAAAATGTCCCGCCCTCTTCGCGTATCGTTTCTACGCACGGGATTGAACAAAGGTGTCTTTCCTTATGTTCTGTACCATCGGATTGTCTCAGTCGTTTCAAAAATGGGTTCAGCGTGGGCCGCATTTTCGGATCGGCGCTTTGCTCCCGTCGTTCAGACTGGCGCTGGGATAGTAATCCTTTTTCATACTTATCGCCCTCCTCGTTTCCCCTGCTCCGCCTTCCCATGGTCCTCTTCCTCCCGCTCCTGCCATTCCAGATTATGCTGCGTTTGTGCGTCCTCGCCTGTTTCTTTCCTCGTCATCCTCTTTACTCTCGTTGCTCATCGTCCTGCTCACCCGCCATTTCCTTCCCCTCCTCTTTCCTACTCCTCTTCCTCCTCCTCTGCGCGCAGCTTCCCTTCGCCGACTGCCTGCGCGTAACACGATGAGGTTTCTGTTGGAATGCCGCGTCCGCGGCGAGAAAAAACGCGCAAGGAGCAGGGACGGGTGGGAGGGATAGGATGCCAGATGTGGCGCGAGCACACCTGCTTGCCCTCATCCACTCTCCTCCCTCCGGGGCCGGCGAGGGGGCTGCTTCCGGCTTCGCCACCGGCGCGTTCCGTCTGCGTGCGGTGCCCTGGCGGCTCGAGCTGAAGGGGCTGGAGCGCAGCTACCCGCCGCCGCCCAGGCCGCTCTCGCCGTCTCGCCGTCGTGGCCTGAGGAGGGCGAGAGAGTTGGAGGTGTTCGTGCGTGTTCGTCCGTGTTCGGCGGTCTTCCAGCCTTCCCGATGCCCTCCAGCGGCTGCGCTTCGCCAGGAGCGCGCTCCACGGGTGCCCAGACCGTCCCGAACGGCTGCCGGAAAGCCGAGTTGCGGCCCCCAGAGCGCAACGAAAGTGGGCGAGTGGAGACAACAGCCGTTGGCGTCGGGGAGGCCCTCGTCACCACGGCTGCACACGGTGCGGTTGGACCCCAGGAGGGGTTCGGAGGCTGATTCTGAGCTGCCGTGGCCTGGACGCGTCCTGCTCCGACGTCGCCGCCGCCGTCAACGCCGTCGTCCTTTTGGGAGGGGGGCATTCCACTTCCTCTTTCTTTGACGCCCAGGAGGAGGAGGAGGAGGAGGAGGAGGAGGAGGAGGAAGAGGAGGCGCAGCAGGAGGCGCAGCAGGAGGCGCAGCAGGAGGCGCAGCAGGAGGCGCAGCAGGAGGAGGAAAACTCAGGACGAGGAAGGAAGGAGTAGGGGAGGAGGGGAGAGGAGGAGGAGGAGGAGGAGGAGGAGGAGGAGGAGGAAGGAACAGCAGCAGCGGGAGGAGGAAAAAGAGGAGGAGGAGGAGGAGGAGTATAAAGGCAACCGCGAACAGAAGACATAATCATCAGCGGCAAATTCTGCTTATGGAGACGATCTCGCTATCATCATCAAAATCATAGTCGCCGTCATCATCACCATCATCATCATCACCCTGTCTATCATCAGCAACAACAGCAACAACAAGCTCGTACAAGTGTAGCGTGCTGCTGCTCTGGACCCAGGAGCGCGCCACTTCAGGACGGTGTCAATCATTACGCCACTGCTCCTAGCCCTTGGGCACGGCTTACGTCTCAGGAGTTGTGTTCCGGCTCGATTCAGGCCACCGCGGCTCACACCCCCGCCGGGTTCGAGTGAGGGAGGATGCGATCTCGCTGGACGAGGCCCGGCACGGGGGCGGCGAGATTCGGGCGGGGAGGCGGGCTGGAGGCCCACCTGCCTCGCAGTGCTGGCCCGAGCGAGCGGCCGGAGCGTGCCTCCTTCGGCGCTGGCCGACACCCCTCGGGCCTGCCGCGGTCGCTTGCCAGGAGGAGGAGGAGGAGGAGGAGGAGGAGGAGGAGGAGGAGGAGGGAGGAGGAGGAGGAGGAGGAGGAGCAGGAGGAGGAGGAGGAGGTGGAGGAGGAGGAGGAGGAGGAGGAGGCGGTCGTCTGCCAGACCGCGGGCCTCGGGCGGGGGCCCGCCGGCTCCGGGCGGCGCGGCGGGCAGCGGCGCCCCGGAGCCGCCCGACACGCCGCGGGTGGCCGCCCGCGGCGTGGTGGTCCCCAACTTGTGGCGGTGGCTCGGGGGCCCCCGCGCTCGACTAGACGTAAGAGTGACCTCCCCCTCCTCCTCCTCCTCCTCCTCCTCCTCCTCCTCCTCCTCCTCCTCCTTTCGCCGGAGTGACCTCTGGTGCGGGCACAGAGGGGTCCCCAGACGGCTAAAGCGAGGCAGTAGCAGCTGCTTGCGCGCCCAGGTGTCGTCCCCCCGCGGCCCCCAACAGGTCGCGCACCAAAGGTCACTCTTACCCAGGGTCACTCCTGCGTGTAGCCGACAAGCGGGGCGGCGACCACACCGTGCGGTGAGTCGGTGGGGATTCGGGGCCACCGCGCGGTTTTGGGGACTCGGGTCGTTCTCCGAGGACGTCTCGGGCGACTTGGGCATCCGAGGTCCCGAGACCGTGCGGTGACGGGCCGTGCGGTGAGGTCCTGGGGGATTTCGAGGTCACCGCACGGTCTGTCACCGCACCGTTTCGGGACTCCAAAGTGGCAGTACCCGGCGGTGGGTCTCGGGCGATTCGGTGTCTCGGCGGCGAGCGAGGGGCGGGGAGTGAGGAGGAGGAGGAGGAGGAGGAGGAGGAGGAGGCGGAGGCCTTCTCAGAAGGCCTCGCGCCTTCTGAGAGGTTGTCTGTGTTTTCGGGGAAGGCTTAGAAAACTTCTCAGAAGGCTGCGGGACTTCCGAGCCTTCTGAGAAGACCTGTTTCTTCTCACTTCCCCCTTGGGCTCGCCGCCGAGTGTCACCACCCAGCTCATGTGACTCGTATGGTTTTTGTCGACGATGTCCCGAACGCTGGTGGGTCCAGAAGCCACAGAGACCAACGGCGCCCCCGTGTTCCAAAACCCCGCGGTGGCGTTTTCTGAAGGGGTTCCAGGCCACCACCTGACATCTCGCCACCTGTGGGGGCCCCAGCTGGCGTGGACCCTGGAGCGGATGGCCCTGCCGGGGCCGCTAGGGGGCGCCTTCCTGTCGCGGCCGCAAGCCGCACGAGAAGTCCTCTCTCCCTCGCCCACCGCTGCTGCCTCCAGGCGTGCAGGGCGTCGCTCCCCCACGGACAGAGGCCCGCCGCCCACGGGGAGCGCGAGGCCTCGGGCCGGCTCCGATCACGGAGTGCTGCCCCTCGTGCACACCAGCCAGTCCCAGATAATTATCTTTCTCCTCCTCCTCCTTTTTCCTTCTCCTCCTCCTAGTCCTCATCCTCCTCCTCCTAGTCCTCCTCCTCCTCCTCCTCCTCCTAGTCCTCCTCCTCCTCCTCCTCCTCCTCCTCCTCCTCCTCCTCCTCCTCCTCCTCCTCCTCCCCCTCTGCTCTTACACACACCCCATCACTCGGGCCGTGCATGGGTCGTACTCATCCTAAGAGGCCTCCAGCCGAACGCCACTGCGTCCCTTCCTCCCCCCAGTCTCGGAAGCACGTGTGATCATCCTTCGCCAAATCGTTAATTGATCCATGCGTCCAACCGTCCAGAATGTTTGTCTTGCTTGCGTCGGCCAGCTACAGTGCCAGAAGGCCAGCACCCATACGTTCTGGACCTGTGTTGTTTGCAGGTTGAAGGTGCGTCAGTTGAACCCCATGCCTTCTCTTCTCCAACGCGTACGTCACCTCCGTGCTTCTGTTCTTTGCAAAACGCGTGGAGTTGGTGGAGGAGGAGAAGGAGCGAGAGAGGGGCTGTGGACCAGGGGCGAGGACGATGAGGAGGACGAGAAGAGGACGACGAGAGGGAGGACGAGAAGAGAGGAGGACGAAGAGGAAAAGGAGGGCGGGCAGTGGGGCGGATGAGCAGCACGAGGAGAAGAAGGGTCGAGGAGGGGGATGCGGGGGAGAGGATGACGAGAGGGAGGATGGCGGTTCTTGAATGAGGGTGACGACGACGAGGAGGACGAGGAGAACGAGGATGACACCCCGCTGACCACCCTCGTCGTGGTCTTCGCCTGCGCCCCGAGGCCTCCGAAGTTCTTCGTGGTGGAGGGCGCGGAGCAGGCCGTGGCAGTCGCGCTCCTCGACGACCAGGTCGGAGGGAGGACGACGACGAGGAGCAGGAGCAGGAGCAGGAGCAGGAGCAAGGGGGGGACAAGGAGGAGGAGGACGAGGAGGAGGAGGAGTCCGTAGCCATTTTGGCTCAAGCCTGCCTTGGGCGCCAGGCAGGCTGGTGTTTGCTTGGCCTCTCTCGTCTGCTGCTGCGATCGAGAGCGGCTATCTCCATCTCCCCTTCGCCGCGTCCTGTGGCCATGGCGGAGCTCTCGGAGGGGTCCAAGGTTTCTGCTACGGGTGGCCGCCCGCTTCTGTGACGGCCTAGCTCGCTCCGCTTCCAGGAGGATGCCGCCCTGGGCAGATCGGTTGCGAGAAGAAGGGCCAGGCGGAGATGCAGGCAAGCTTGCGAGAACGCCCTGCGCAAGCTGGCCGAGGCAGAGGCGCGCCCAGGCTCCTGGCAAGATCGGGAGCGGGCGGCACGGCCGGCGCTGGTGCTCGCGGCCAGCGGGCGCCGGGCCCCTGGGACGCTACGGCGGCGCCGGAATGCCGCACTTCACGCGGCGCGCATCCCAGCGGTGGGATTCGCAGCCGCCTCTGAGGCCGACCTGGCATGGGCTGCTGCAGGGCCTCGGCTTGGGGAGATGCACACCCACGAGGTCCATGCAGAGGTGCTGGACGGTCAGCTGCTCCACGTGGCTGTGCCTGGCACGGAGGCGCTGGGATTTCAGCCTCCCTGCGCTTTCCCCATCGACGAGGGCGTGGAGGACGAGTGCTCGGGTTGGCCTGCTCCTGGCACCTGGCAGCCTCTCAGCCCCGACGCGGAGACTCGCATCTTCGCGGGCGGTTTGGAGGCGGGCTGGCGGCTCGCTGAGCCGCACCTGGAGCACAGGGGGCCCTCGGAGAAGCTACGCACCCAGGACGCCCCCCTCGTGTCGTCGGGCGGGGTCGTGGAGGAGGTGTACGAGGAACGCCTTCGAGGAGCTTCATTTCGTTTTGCCCCTGGATCCTTTCGCCAGGGTGATCCCGATCTTGACGGCGAAGATCGGAGTGCTGGCTCGTGCGGATATCGGGATCGCCGTGGAGTCACGGGGTCGAGCCGCAAGAGGGCGGTGCATCGCCGCAGCCCTGCGACTTCTGATCCTGGCCCGACGGCGCCGCCGAGTGCAGACGTTTCTGGCATCGGGCCCCCGCAGCAGGCCGACTGCCAGCAGCGATGAACCCACCCTGTCCTGGGACCAGCCTAGGCGGGGTTTTGGGTTTGGGGCTTCGGCGACGCTTATTCTCCTCTTTCCCTCTTTCCTCCCTCCGTCTCGGTCTTCCTTCTTCTCCGTTAGCGTCGCCTTAGCCTCCCGTCCATAAATGTTTGTCGCTCTCTGCTCCTAGAGTGGACTTGTGACACAGCAGTGCAACAGTGCAACAGAGGAGGAGGAAGAGTAGGAGGACGTCGACGAGGAGGAGGAGAAGGAGGAGGAGGAGGAGGACGTCGACGAGGAGGAGGAGGAGGAGGAGGGGGAGGGGGACGACGACGACAGCGAGGATAAGGACGAAAAGGGCGAGGACGAGGACGAGGAGGAGGACGAGGACTGGTGCAAATCCAAGACGCATAAACCATGCGACAATACATCCCCCCTCCGAGTACACATGACTGTTGCGCCCCGACAATCCTACATCGTGTCATATCACCGTTCTTGGGATTCCGACGCAGCGAGCCAACGTCGTGATCGTTGCGTCCTGGCAATCCTAAATCGCTCCAGGACGCCATTCCTGGGCCATTATAACACAGCACACCAACGTGACTGTGGTGTCCCGATTGCTACGTCCTCTTGCACACTTTTATGTGCGCGGCGATTCGGCGAGAGCTACATGTTGCAAAAGAGCCGCCTTCCACCCGCGAAACTGCTTCAATATTTTTAGAGAACTTTGCGCGGCGCGGCGCGGAGGCGAGAGCCACATGTTAGAAAGGAACGGCTCGGAAATTTCTGCAGAATGCAAGACGACTCTGCGATCCTCCAGCCCCATCTATTCCGACCCCATCGGGGCGGCCTAGATTACCGCCGAAAGATTCATCCTCCTCCCCCTCGCCCTCCTCCTCCTCCTCCTCCTCCTCATCTTCCTTTTCCTCCTCCTCCTCCTCCTCCTCCTCCTCCTCCTGTTCCTGCTGCTCCTCCTCCCCCCCCCATTTGGGAGGAACCACATTTTGAAAAGGGCCCGCTGTCCATCTGTGAAACCGCTGTAAACGTGTACCACTGATGTGCGCGGCGCCAAGGCGAGACCCGCATGTTGAAAAGGGCCCGCCCTCCATCCGCGAACTTGCTGCAAAGTGCCAAGCGCCAGGACCATAAATGGCGAGGAAGGCTCGGACGAAATCCCCGGCAAGCCTTACTGGGGCGTTGAGGGGGTGCGACACGTGCTGGGGGCCCGACAGGGTGATGTAAGGAAATGGAATGGGGGATGCGGGGGAGGAGGACGACGACGGCGAGGAGGACGAGGACGATGAGGACGAGGACGATGAGGATGACGAGGAGGAGGACGAAAAGGAGGAGGAGGACGACGACGAGAAGGAGGACGAGGAGGAGAAGGACGAGGTTGGAGGAAGGACGAGGAGGAGGAGCAGGAGCAGGGGGAGGAAGGGGAGGGGGAGTTCTAAGAGTAGCAATAGTAATAGCACTAATTAGCCATACGACCAGAAGAGGATGAGCGGGGAAGCTCTTGATGACGCCCAGAAGATCGCGCTTACCTCCTTCAACCTTCCCTCCCCGGATCTGCCCCCAGGCCCCCCCGCCCCCGAGGGCCCCGGGGGGGGAGGATATCATGGCCGGGGCCATGGTACCTCTCAGACCTCATGGCCCCCTCCTTTTTTTCCGATGCATTCCTCCGCCCCCCTGACCCTGGGCCGCGCACCAGCCTCGGGCCATTTCTTGCGAACCCCTCTCTTGGGCGCCCCCCTCTGGGTTGCCCCCGACCCTCAAGGTCGGGCGCGTCCCTATGCAGGAGGAGAGCGTTCAAAAGTAGACGTGCCCCGAGGCCCCTTCTTTTCGCGGCTCGCTCGCTCGTCGACCCTCCCCGTCCCGGCTCCGCCGATCCGCCACCAGGCCCCCCCCGCCCCCGACCGAGGCCATTCCTCTTCGCGGCTCGTTCGCTCGTCGACCCTCCCGGCTCTGGCCCCGCTTCCTCCTTGGCCCCACCGCCAAGTCTTCCGTCCCCCCGGCACCCAGACCCCAGCACGAGGAAGAGGAGGGCCGAGCAACCTGGCGGGGGGGGCAAGAGGTCCCCAGGAGGGCCCCAGAGAGACCACCACGAGGCCTCATCCTCCTTGTCCTCTTCCTTCTTCTTTTTCGCATTATTCTTATCATTTGTATT